AATTTTCCTATAGGAATTTTCCTATAGGAATTTTCCTATAGGAATTCCTATAGGAATTCGTATAGGATGTTATATAGAATCCTATTGCTGCTATTATATGTTTTTACTCTGTTTTTTATAGCAAAATACAAAACAAGTGTAACTCCAAAGATCGATATCGATCTACATCGATATATATTGTTATCGATCTTTGGAGTTAAACTTGTTTTGTATTTTGCTAAAATACTCAGTGGTTATGTTTTTAGTATCAATGTGTTTAGCTAGCTAGGATTTCTATAATTCCTGATGGTCCATAATGCAAGCATTCCTATTGGAATTTTATCCCTAATAAGAATATAAGATACAGCCAATAGTTCGCGCTTCAACTGGACGCCCTGGTGACTAGTTTACGTTTCAGAGCGCAAAGCTTCATGGGATAGCATCGTTTTATTTGTGATAAAAAATATTTGGTGTTATAATTTTGTGCTTGGAATATTTCGTTGATATTTTTAACCCAAACGGTGGAAAAGGAATCGGAAAGTTCTTAACATGTTATTCAGATGTCACAGGTAAGAATACTTTTGTATTTGACTTATTATTTAAGCACTTTAATTGCAAAATAATGTGGTGAATATGATTGTTAACTTGAGCCATGTGGGCCATGTGTCTTAAAATTCCGTTGAATGTTTGAATTTGCCGCGCCAATTTGCATATAAAACATACAAAATGTTCGTTTCTGGCAGTAAAGAAAGAATGAAATATAAATTCGAACCTATTATTGTGAATTCTATACTAAATTTCACACTATTATTAACAATTTAGCAATATTTTCTTTGGCATAATCTGGCACTTTGCTTAAAGTTAAGACTATTGTAAAGCTGGGTAAATAATTATATAAAATAATATATATTAAACATCCAAATGCTTTTAAAGATATGTTTGCATTTTAATACTTCAATAAGGATTGGAATCAGAGAGGAACGACAGCATTTAATGTGCTATTATTAGTGTATCGATAATCAATCTTTAGTGTCCTCTACTGTATTTGCATTACTCTGTCTAAATTGCAAGATGATTTTACTTGTCAAGGGGAGAGTCTTTTAATAGTGGGTTTATAAAGAGCTTCACTTGTATAAAGTGATGTTTGTAATGATAGTGCTGAGACAGTGCCCCAAATGTTGTCTTTGTATATATTTCAAGATTAATATTTGAGCTGGGCAGTGCTTGTATGTAGCCCTGGCTCCAAACATTGTTTTCAACAAATCAGCAAATATAACCAGATTCACTAACAATAGTCCATAGTTTATTTAATATGTGCTTTATCACTTTATATATTAAGCATAAATATCTGTGGCAAGGCATTGATAGTTTTGGATGGCCTATATTTTGCCGGATGCCAGTAACCCAATCCAGCATATCCCTACTCTCTGCCACAGAATAAGGTACACAGAGGGTCGACTCGAGTAACGCTGCCACGCCATGATTCATCATCAAAATGCTGATGCCATGGTCCTAGCCAGTGCGGGTTTGAGAGGCATTCCCCCCCTGGACATCCGCCATTTTGAATGATATCAGGGGGGTGAATGCCTCTCAGACGCGCACTGGCTAGGACCATGGCGTCAGCATTTGATGACGAATCACGAGTTACGCCAAAATCATAGGAAAATCATAGGAAAAACGAAGAAGTCGGCCTTCTGTGTACCTTATTCTGTGTCTCTGCCCACGGCCATGTTATGATATTATTTGCACTTCACTTGCAAGATATTATTTGCACTTCACTTGTTTGGACTAGAATACTGGGTTTGGTGGATAATCCAATATATATATATTGGATTTAATTAAGACCTATAACCAGGAACGATTGTGAAAAATGTAACACTAAATTGTCGACCAGGAATTGAACCTACAGCCCTGTGCTTCTGGGGCAGCGCTCTAACCAACTGAGTTCCAGAATCGCAGGGCCATAGGTTCGATTACTGCCAGAGGACTTAGTTGTCACATGGATTGTTCACCAAACCAAGTATGTAATATTACACCCTGCATTACCTTGTACCAATATGAACCTGTAGTCTTTGTAATTCATGGTGATTATGACAATAAACTATGGAAATTATCTTATATATAAAGGGTAAATCTTATTATTTATTTAAAAAATTTCTGGTTTCTGATTTGGCTAACAGCCAACTGTGAAATTGTCATATCAACTCAGTGGCTACCCAAATATGGATTTTTCACATTCATATTAGCAAATTGATGTCAAAGAGTCAAAATGAAAAAAATTTGGGACGTGTTTGCGCCATATTACTATGACGACGAGAATCATATCGACTCGCTGACGCCATTGATATGATGACGATGACGGCTGCCAAAGGACTAACTAGGATTTTTTTTCTTAATACAAATAAAATACAAATGGGTTCCATTTGTTTTGATTTTTTAAAATAAATAAAAAAACAATTATTGAATTTGGTTTTTGCACAATATGAAGAATTATCAAGCCCTCAGTTTGCTGTGACAGTTATCAACCTCAGGCTTTGGTTGATAACAGCAAACTTTGGGCTTGATAATTCTTCATGTCATGCTCAACCTCATTCAATAATTGTTAAATATTAATTAAAAACTGTTTTTACATCAAGAGTTAATAGTCCCTTATAACTGACTGAGGAGTGTCTCAGTTTAGGAAGCAAGTCCATTGTTCTAGTTTTTTATAGGGTATAATTTACTAATTATGATTATATTTTCAAATAAATAATGTTTTCCTTTTACAGATTCCAATATGATGGATCTCTGGTGGCATTTGCATGCTGTACTCGGAGCAGTATTAAATGTACATGAAGAAATCAATGGACTTGAACAAATGGGTTGTTAGATCATAATATTGATTGTGAAGTGGAAAGTGTTATAATACGGCATTGTGAGAAACTCTATTCGCCACAACACATTGCTGTGCAATCAGAACTAAACATAGTCATCTATAAGAATGACAGAAAATAAAACTTATGTAGTGCATACAGAATTTTCTATTTTTTAAATACATAATATAGGTAATATAATATAGTACAATTTTATGTCCAAAATTTTCTAAAAGTAAGAAAATATAAGAAACATTTCTTAAACTGAGAACAATGAAAAATGTCATAAGTTAAAAAGATAAATAGCCTAAATTAGTATGTTATATGTAAATATAGCCTGTTATATTTGCCACATTTTTATCGACGACAACGCTCAAAGTCTCAACGAAGGAAATACAGAAAATACAGACAGTCAAAGCCTTATAACAAGGCCAAAAAGACAAACAAAGCCTACGCTCAAATCTGTCCAAAATCGGATGCAAACCGAAGAATTTAAAACGACAAAATTATGGGATAAAGTGCAAAATGCTATAACAACATTACAAACAACGCCAGACTCAATACCACAAATACGGTTTGCAATATCGAAGGTACGTGCAGCATTTCATGATTACCATATGTCTATAGTCTCGTACATAGATTATCTTGTACGTGTGGGCACGCTAGAATGTATTGAAGAGCGAGAGAAAATAGAAGACATTCTTGATTATCATAAACATTATGTTGACACTGTGGTCGCGGAAGGTAATGAACGAAAGAAGGAACTAACCGCTGAAATGGGTTCTGCTCGCCTAAGTTCTCGCGCATCTTCTCGCGCATCGTCAGCCTCGTCGGCCGCATTACGTGCGCAAGCAAGAGGCGATGCTGCAGCAGCTATAAAGAAAGCAGAATTGGAAAAGAAACGAAATGAAATTGAGTCGCAATTAGCGTTACAAATACAACAGGAATTAGCATTGTCGCGCCAAAAAATAAACGAAAAAGCCCAGTTAGAAAGTCACCGCGAAAGTCACCGCTATAGAGAATGAACTAGAAATATCTGATCCTCAAGGATTAGATCTGCCTGAAGAACACGTTGACCAAAAGGTAAATAATTACCTTGAAAACCAGTACGAATTTACACCAGATAATATCGATACTACCCAATCTTTCCAACAATAACATCCCGCTGCCCAACCTTTCCAACAACAACATACCGCTGCCCAACCTTTCCAACAACAACATCCCGCTGCCCAACCTTTCCAACAACAACATCCCAATACCCAACCTTTCCAACAACAACATCCCGCTGCCCAACCTTTCCAACAACAACATACCGCTGCCCAACCTTTCCAACAACAACATACCGCTGCCCAACCTTTCCAACAACAACATCCCAATACCCAACCTTTCCAACAACAACATCCCGCTGCCAACCTTTCCAACAACAACATACCGCTGCCCAACCTTCCCAACCCTTAGATCCCACGACAAGTGCGTTCCACCCTACCACTCGGACCAGTCCCCCCTCGGAGCCAGGTCAAGATACTATGAAGTCCTACATCGATTTTATGGCGCGCCGGGAGTTAATAGCTAACAAAATAGAAAAGTTTGATGACCAACCAGGGAACTATCATGTCTGGAAGGAATCTTTCCAGAATATGATTAGACATGTCAACATTACGCCAAGCGAGGAACTTTCGTTAATAACCGAGCACACCACCAAGAACTCTAAAAAACTTGTTCAGCAGTTGCGCAGTGCATATATTAAAAATCCAGCAAAGGGTGTAATAGGGGTATGGAAGAAACTTGACGAACGTTTCGGAACCAGTATTGTTATAACTAAAGCATATCTGGACAAGCTCACAGATTTTCCGAAAATTGACTATAAAGACGCAAGAAAGTTACAAGAGCTAGGTGATCTCTTGCTAGAACTACAATGCGCCAAAAGTGACGGTAGTTTACCAGGTCTTAGAATCCTCGACGAAGCCATGTAGATTAAACCCATAATAGCCAAGTTACCGGGGGACGTACAAGGACGATGGCAACGCCATGCTTTTCGTTATAAGACCGACCACGGAGTAGAGTACCCTCCCTTTGAAGAATTTTCGAAATTCGTGCAAAACCTTGCGCTTGAGAGAAATGACCCGAATTTGACCTTGGAGGTTCTCGGAAAGGAAAATCATCAGTCTAGGAATTTAGGTTCGAGGCAAAGACAAACATACAAAACCGAAATCGCCGACGAAGAAGAAAGTCGCAGAAAGAATCTAACCTGCGATCCCATCAGATGGTGTGTCCTCCATGAAAAACCGCACCGCCTAGCCAAGTGCAGAGCTTTCCGAGGCAAATCACTTGAAGACAGAAAAAACCTGCTGAGAAAGAACCGAATATGCTTTCGTTGTGTGGCCTCAACAACCCATGTAGCAAAGGATTGTCGCAGTACCGTAAAGTGCTTGGAGTGTCAAAGTGACAAACATCTAACAATCATGCATGCGGGAAAGTCGCCGGAGCAAAAGGAACCCGAAGTAAAAGATCCGAACGCTGACAACCGCCAAAGTCGAGACCCACCAAGTCACGGCGGGGAGAATGAAGCCACAGCAAAGCGTACTGAGCTCTGTGGCAATGAACACGGTGGGCGATCCTGCTCAAAAATATGCCTGGCCAACATTTATTCCAAGACTCATCCAGAGAAAAAGATCAAAGCTTACGTCGTTATCGACGATCAAAGTAATTGTACCCTTGCCAAACCAAAACTATTTGACTTGTTAAGCATAGATGGCGAAGCCACTTCGTACACTCTAAAAACATGCGCGGGTAAATCCAAACTAGAAGGACGGTGCGCCAAGAACCTAGTGATCGAATCGTTGGATGGGCGAAAAACCCACAAGCTTCCACCAGTAATAGAGTGTGACGCCATTCCAGATAGTACAGAAGAGATTCCTACGCCTGCTGTTGGCAGGGCACACCCTCATCTCAGAGAAATTGCTGACAAGATTCCAGAAATTGATCCTGAAGCTGACATTTTGCTGTTGGTAGGAAGAAATGTGCCTCAGCTCCACAAGGTCTACGAATCGAGAAACGGGAAAGGTGCCTCCCCATGGGCACAGCGTTTGGACCTAGGATGGGTGATCCTGGGCAAAGTATGTCTGGACGGCGCTCACCAACCCGATGATGTGTCATCGTATAAGACACACATATTACCAAACGGACGGCCTTCGATTTTAGAACCTTGCCCTAACGCCTTGATTGTGAAACAACCTCCTGAGTATGAATCCAACTTTAAAGGAAAAGAGACGTTTAGTAATGGTTACTTTGATGACGGACTCGCAAAGAACGTTTTCGTACGCACGGAAAAAGACGATAAGCCAGGAATGTCCGTGGAGGACAGGAAGTTTGTGGATATAATGGAAAGAAATTTGGAGAAGAACGACGCTGGAAATTGGACCGCACCGCTGCCGTTCCGTCGCGAAGTGATAACCTTGCCCGAAAGTCGCGGAGAGGCGTATAAGAGACTTAAATCTACAAGGAAAACGCTGGACCGGAACCCGATAATGAAACAACACTACTTCGCATTCATGAAGAACCTGTTTGACAAAGGACACGCCGAACCAGTGCCGCCACAAAACCTAACGTTGCTTAAACCGTGTTGGTACCTGCCACACTTTGGGATATATCATCCGCAGAAACCTGATAAGATCCGTGTGGTGTTCGACTCCGCTGCCGAGAATGGTGGTATATCCCTGAATAAGTTGCTTTTATCCGGTCCTGACCTTGCGAACAGTCTCCTCGGAGTTTTGTTGCGCTTCCGGAAGTATTCTACTGCCTTCATGGCAGACATAGAACAAATGTTTTACTCCTTTGTTGTCCCTGAAGACCACAGGGACTTCTTACGGTTTCTCTGGTATGGCAACAATGATCCAGATGGGGCAATAGTAGAGTACAGAATGAAGGTACATATATTTGGAAATACCTCTTCGCCAGCAATTGCCACCTTCGGTCTACGTAGGACAGCAGAGGTCAGAGAGCCGGAGTTTGGTTCCGATGCAAGGGAATTCGTTGACAACGATTTTTACGTGGACGATGGTTTGAAATCCATGCCAAACAGCCGACAAGCCATCGACCTATTGAAACGCACTCAAGCAATGTTAGCCACAGGGAATCTACGTTTGCACAAGATATCGTCCAACGATCCGAAAGTAACGGACGCGTTTCCTCCGGACGACAGAGCTGCAGACCTTCGTGACCTCGATTTGAACCACGTCAACGCTCCAGTTCAGAGATCGTTAGGTGTTTCATGGGACCTCACAGCGGACGCGTTTACTTTCACGGTGAAAGTAGAGAACAAGCCATTCACCAAACGTGGCGTGCTATCAATTATTAATAGTCTCTACGACCCACTTGGAATCGCAGCACCGGTGCTAATTCAAGGCAAGTGCCTACTCAGAGGCATGACAGAGCAATTGAAGGAGAAGCAACTTGAAGAATGGGACTTGCCGTTACCGCAGGAGCTGAAGGCAGTTTGGGACGAGTGGTGCCAATCCCTAATCGAGTTGCAGCGTCTAAAGTTAACCCGTCCTTACACCACCGCGCTCGATAAAGCAAGCCATATAGAACTGCACACTTTCGGTGATGCGTCTGTCCAAGGTATCGCCGTTGTCTCCTACCTCAAGATCACCCAACCCGATGGACGAATTGAAGTGTCGTTCGTTTTTGGTAAAGCCAAGCTAGCTCCACCACACGCCACAACAATTCCTCGCCTCGAGTTGTGCGCAGCGGTGCTTGCTGTCGAAATAACCGACATGATTCTGAACGAACGCGTTGTACATCCAGACCGGGTCATATACCATTCGGATAGCAAAGTCGTGCTGGGGTATATCGCTAACAAAACTCGAAGGTTCTACGTTTACGTCACTAACCGAGTTGAACGGATAAGAAAATCCTCATCACCTTCCCAATGGTGCTACGTTTCAACGCAACACAACCCCGCAGATCTTGCAACTCGCCCAATAAAGGCCAAAGACCTCGAAAGTTCAATGTGGCTTCACGGTCCACAGTTTCTTTACCAGCAGAGTCAATCAGAGCCTGAAGGGACTCCACCAAATCTCACAGTAGTCCAGCCGGACGATCCTGAAGTTCGCCCTGAGTTGAAAACGCTATCAACGACGGTCGGAAAGGTTACACATCTCGAAACACATCGATTTAGTAGATTTTCTGAATGGTCCCGTTTGGTACGGGCTATCATATACCTCATCACCTTCGTACGACGCTTTCGAATGAATCGTGCTAGGAAAGGAATAGCCCGGCGAAAGGAGAGCCCGCCTATCGAACAGTCTATCAGTAGCATTCTCGACACCCGGAGACAAGCTGAAATAGTGATAATCAAAAGCCTGCAAAAGGAAGCGTACGGCGAAGAGATCGAGTGTATCCAACATAAAAAGAAAATGGCGAAAGCAAGCGTGCTTCTTAAGTTGAGTCCAATCATTGATCCACAAGGACTGTTGTGTGTGGGCGGTCGTCTCGAACGAGGAGAATTACTAACCAATGAAGAGAAACACCCAGTGATACTGCCGGGACAACATTATGTTACAACTCTAGTTGTCGAGCACCTCCACCATGAAATTAAGCACCAGGGGCGATACTTCACACAAGGGATAATAAGAGCAAAGGGATATTGGATAATCGGCGGAAAACGGCTTGTCAACAGAGTCATCTACCGTTGTTTCAAGTGTCGAAAACAGAGAGGGAAATTACAAAATCAGAAGATGGCCGACCTGCCGACCGAACGATTAACGCCAGCCCCTCCATTCACATACGTGGGTTTAGACGTCTTCGGGCCGTGGCAAGTTACAACTCGGAGAACCAGGGGAGGAGCTGCTCAAAGTAAACGATGGGCCGTAATTTTTACCTGCCTCACCGTAAGGGCGATCCATATAGAGTTGATTGAATCCATGGATACCTCGAGCTTTATCAACGCCTTGCGTAGATTCTTCGCCGTCAGGGGTCCCGCCATCCAACTCCGCTCCGATAACGGTACCAACTTCGTGGGAGCGTGGAACGAATTGAATGCCGCGTTTAAAGAAATAAATAAGAACACCGTCGACACCTACCTGAGCAAAGAACGCTGTGAATGGGTTTTCAATCCTCCCCATGGATCCCATATGGGCGGTGTCTGGGAGAGAATGATCGGAATTGTTAGAAAAGTCTTAAACGCCATGCTAGCCGATCTTGGATCAAGGCACCTCACGCACGAGGTTCTCACCACCCTTATGGCCGAAATAATGGCTATCGTCAACAGTCGACCCTTAGTACCAGTTTCCACCGACCCGACCATGCCTGAGATCCTTACGCCTTCTACGCTGCTAACCCAAAAAACTTCAACTTTGAAAGCTATCCCGGGAGAATTTACAGCGACCGACCTTTGTAAACATAACAAGCAATGGAGACACGTACAACACTTAGCGAATGTTTTTTGGTCGAAATGGCGAAAAGAGTTCTTGCCCACACTGCAGCCGCGTCGGAAGTGGCAAGAAGAAGTTCCAAATCTTGAAGCAGGAGACCTCGTGTTATTACGTTGTAAAGACGTCGCAAGAAATGAATGGCCACTCGCCCAAGTAATAAAAGCGTATAAAAGCGCCGATGGCAAAGTACGGAAGTTAAATTTGATTACCACCAGGGACGGTGCGAAGCACATATACACTAGGCCAGTAACTGAAGTCGTGCTGCTCAAAACTGTGCATGAGTTAAAATGATCAGGACTAACTTTAATTAAAAACGTTCGTTTGATTGTTTAAATTAATAGTGGTATCATTAGATACCAGACGGGGAGTGTTCTGGCCGTTCGGCCTGTTCTTGTTAACAGTTCGCGCCAATTACATTTTAATGCATTCTAATTGGTTAGTCACCCTCGCTGCTGGGGGTGACTCGAAGGTTGTTATTGTAAGATTCTTTGTATTGTTTGGAGGCGATTCGCAGTCGATTCTCCTTTTACCACTGTAACACAAATAAAATCACTTTAAAACAAATTTGTGTTGGTTATACTGCTGATGAAGGGTCTCACTGAGCGGGGGCCCGAAGTATCAGAACAGAAACAACATCAAAACCACTAGTTAATCCAACGAAACTCTGTCGGATTACAGGGGATGGCAATTGTTTATTTAGAGCACTGTCATATATTTTAACCGGTAGACAAACATACCACATGATTTTAAGACAAAAAATAGTGGATCACATGAACAGTATAGAACATGTCCTTAGACCATATATGAATAGTTCAGTAGATCATTATTTAGCCACAAGCAACATGAGGAACACTGGTGTGTGGGGGACTGATATTGAAATTTTTGCAGCCATTCCCTTTTCAATGTAGATATTTATGTTTATTCACAGTTTGGTAACAATTATAAATGGTCTAAAAAGAAAAAGAACATTGGACACTGAGGCAGCATTACCACCTGGATTTACTTACACTGTACTGCCATTGGACAGCTACCTGTACCGTTGTATCAATAAGGGTGCTGTTTTATAGTTGTTCTGTTTACATTTTTCTGTTCAACACTGTACACTGTACATCGTACAGCTACGGTCGTTGATGCAGCATGTACTGTATTGGTTACAGCTTTATACTTATAGCTATCATGTTTAAATTGTCCTGTTCAACACTCTAGATTGGACAGCTACGGTCATTTGATATATTACATTGGGGACAGCTTTATACTTATTATAGTTATCATGTTTAAATTGTCAGTCTGTTTAACACTGTACATATCGGAAAGCCACGGTCATTGGATGTACTGATACTGACTGTATTACGTACAGCTTTATATTATTCTGTTGAACACTATACACACCTGACAGCTACGGTTATTGTACTTTTATATAGATTTGATAGTGTGTAGTTTTATAATAATCTATTCAGATTGTTTTTTCAAGACTGTTGATATTGGTTAGGGACCGGTCATTATTTATGGAAGGGGGGAGGGGAATTTTTTCTTTTCTAAATTTTTAAAATTGAAAGCCCCCCCCCTAAATGGCAGAAATTTAATGATGCCCCCCCTGCCATATTAGAATATTTTTCTTTGACCCCCCCGCCCCATTTTCATTTTTACTCGTCAAATGGGGATACCCAGGCGTTATAGTATTTTAATTATTAAATAAGAATATGGAACTGGCAAGATATTAACGTCGACCAAAAATATATATTTATTAGCAGAAAATTGTAATTAAAAGAGGAGTATTTTTATATATAACACTAAAATCAGGTTTCCATTTGGTCTGGGCGATCGTAACCATGTTTAAGGCTGCAACTAAACTTGATGGTACGAAGTATTGCCATAGCAGCTGCGCGGCAACAATGAGAGCAACAATGAGTAAAATTAGCAGCAAAAGGAGATAGGAATGACAATTCTGCCAAGGCATACCTGCGAAATACAGTGTATAGTGGTCTATACATCCTATTTTATGTGAGATTAAAAATTATATAAAAATGACATATACTAGCTACCAGAAAAATCTTTTAGAATGAACATGGGTGGGTGGGTCGGGAAAAGGTATCGAAGCGCAAAACTTGCTGCAGCTAGGCAAAGCATACAATGGTAGAATGAATACCTAGACCGAAGCACTGATCACAAGGCATGAAACAACCCCCTTTGATCGATATGACGTCACAGATTCCCCGCAGCGGATGTGACCTGCATAATACAAACGCCGTTAACCTTGCTTAATTTAAATGTATTTAACCACATCAAGAGCTGATGTAATAATACATTGTCAATTTAAGTAGTCTGCAATCCGTAAAGACTGATTTGCATACTGCATACAACACACACAAGACAAGATGAATCCAGACTATTTCACATCAGTGACCATGATTTAGTTGCAACATTTACAACCAAATGGATACCAGGTTATTAAGCAAATTCCTTCAAGTTTAATTGCAACACCCCCTGTCATTTTCTTGAAAAAATTTAATAGCCCCCCTTCTAGTCATTTCTACATATGCCCCCCTTATTTTTTTCCTCCCCTCCCCCCTTCCATAATTAATGACCGGTCCCTTATTGTTAAAATCGAGGATGTCGTTAAAATTAAACTTTAAACCTGTAAGATCTTCGGGAACATTTTATATTATGTTGTGTTTTACCAAAAAATGTCCTTGCCCTTGCACGGTTCCCATTTGTAAAAAACTGCTTTAAACTTGTAAGCTGCTTGCAGAATGTTATCGAGCCACAGCCATAGTTCATATTTTCCCGTACGAATCAATAACATTTGACGTTCTCTTGTGATTTTTTACTGTTATTTTCTTTCATATTTATGTCAAATTCGAAAAATTATACTTCCATTCCATAGTTGTCTTCACGGAATAAACCTTTATATTGACGTTAAAATTTCAGTAAAATACTGTTTTTCGCTTCTGGATAAACACCACCGCTACGTTGTCATTTTTTCCACACAAAAACGGGAGAAAAACCGGTCGCTTTTATAATATACTCGTTTACCGCTTTCGTTGTGGGCACAAAGTCTTAAAATACACACAAAAATCGTTATAAATCGCAAAAAGCAACAAGAAACAAGCCGCTAAAGTCGACACAATAGCATCTGAATTTGGCTTGTCAAGCAGTTTTCGCTTGTTTTCCCGCGTTTTGTTCCCGTATCCTAGGATACGAGGCCTCGTCACGATTTATGAATAAGGTCTATGCCACAGATTAAGAGGACCAGATGTCCGACTTCAGTCAAAAAAGCGTAAGGGCCAGTTATTTTTAGTTCAATGGTAAGGGCCAGTGAACTCTAATAATAACTGGAAGGCTAAGTCAGGGGGGGAAGTTGAAGCCGTGCTTGAAGCTTTTTTTGTAGGTAGACCCAGTCCTTTTTAATTTTCTTTTTCAAAATATGCACATTTTTTGATCAGAAAAATCTTGCCCCAAAACATTAGTTATACTACCAAATTTAATTTATATCAGTAGTATGATAAATAAATTTAATATTCGCAGAGCAAACAAATCACGAATTAGCAAAAAAAATGCGAAAAACACGACCATAAGCATGAACGGTCTGGAAAACCGCGCGTTTTAGGCTGCTTTTTCTGAGTTTTTGGAAGTTTAAGGTAAAACTAAGACGTCATACCTCAGGAATTTTTTATACCCATGCAAAATACATATGTATGCGAAGTTTCAAGAGGATTTCACGTTTTAAGGTCGAAAAAAAAGCATTTGAAAATTGACAAAAATATTGCCATATTCAAAGTGCTCATGGTGGCCAACAAGATGCCGATGACGAAAATAACATCACTTGAAAAACGCCAATTTATTTATGTTTAAGAGCGACTAAAACAAGGACTAAAAGCTCAGGATCAATAACAATACCTGGGGTTTAATACAACATAAGTTTTGGGACTGTCAAAATGTTTTATAGTATATATTTTTGGTTTGAACGGCAAGATTTCCTTCGGCACGTCCAAACTTTCGTCATTTTTTCAAAATACAAAAGCAAAATTCCTTACTTTTTGCTGCAGAGAGATGTAAAACAGTCGGAACTAATCGGAAACTTGGTTTAAATCCCAATCATTGTTGTATTCCCATGGGAAAAGTGTTTTTCTTGCAAATTTTTGCTCGAAAACAAACTTTTGACAGAATTTTTTTCACTCCTCGAAACTCTACTTAAAGGCGGTTTTCCACTAGGCGAAATTTTTCGACCGAATCGAAATTTCTCTTTGTTTCATGAGCTCTCGAGCAGAACTAATTGTAAAAAGACAAAGAGAAATTTCGTTTCGGTCGAAAAATTCCGCCTCGTGGAATCCGGCCTTAAGGCCTAATTCCACGACAAGCGAAATGCGAAAAATTTCGAGCGAAAACACACTTGTGCGAAAATTTTCTCTCGTAGCGATTTCCACACTTGGAGAAAAAATTCGACAAAACACAAGCATTTGATTGGTTTCGCTATTTTGTCATCCAAAAGACAAGCATTTGATTGGTTTCGCTATTTCCATTTCGCAAGGGAGTAGAAACGAATTCAACTACCCGGCGAAGAGAAATATTTCGCTGAGGAACATTCCCAAATCATGTTGCGCATGCGTTCAACCTTTTCGCGCGAAATTTTTCGCATTTCGCTCGTCGTGGAATTAGGCCTTTAGTCCTTTTGAAAGCTGATTTTCCCGCGCGCCGGCTTCAACGAATCATAGACTTTCATCATAGGAGTTAGCCTTCCAGTTATTATTAGAGTTCACTGGTAAGGGCTTCGTCACCGCGCATGCCGTACTGCGCATAGCTTAGCAAGTGACTAGAGGCAACACCGCGGAAAAACGTCTGCGCATGCGTCAACCTTACCTGTAATAGTATTGCGAACTTGATGAGAAGCTGTTCCGAACGTTTCCGAAGGCTCAAAATGGCGGTAAAAAGGAGTGACTTCATTGTGCATCTTTACAGCCAGATTTCGGGCGCGAAAATAAACATGTCATTCTAAAAACTAGGAATAAATACAGCCAGAAGGTTCAAGAAATTGTTATGTACAAGAACATGAACTAAAGGTGATTATTGACAAATTTATCGTCTGAAACATTTTGTTTATCAACTAAGCAACGACAATTTCCGTATTTTCGTTTGAGATACATTTCTTTAAAAAAAACTGTGTCGCCAAATATAAAAAAATTTCGTGTTCACAATAATTAAACTTCAGGATTTATTCTACAATTTGAGTGGGTTAAGAAGCTTAACTTTTCGCGAGTTTTCTTAAAGGTAGGTTACAGTCCCTTCTGCGCATGCGCGGGCTTTGTTTACGTTTTTTATTTTGATCCACATTAATTATATAAGATGAAGTATATGACGAGTTCAAAGTAACATTCCACATAATTTGTGACCGAGGAGTGCAATGTTTGACAATACTTCGCTTCATTTCTTGTACATTTCTACGCTGGAAATTTTTGAACACAATAACACAATCTTATACTGTAACTGTTTAACTGTAAACATCGTGAGTACAGTTATAAAGAGGCCGCTTTGAACGTTGTGCGACTTGCAGTGTTGTTGTTGTCATTATGACAGAAGCGCTTGGCCTTGGGGAAAGCTTTTCGCTTGACGAAATTCGAAACAAGTGTGATTGAGAATGTGGTTGCAGTTCCTGTCTTCGTGGCAAAGCCAAGGGCGAAATTTTTGACCGTGCAAATGCCGGATAAACAACTTTTGTTCAAGCTCGTGCACGCTATGGAGATGAGTTCGTTATAAACAACAAAAGAGTTCAATAGATTGACAGTGACGAGAGTACGAGACGCTAAGATTATATTCAACTTTTTTGTGTTATAAATATGTATGTTTTGAAATTATGAACTGGAAGTATGAATTCATTGATACTACTCTCATATTGACACTAAATGATGATATTCTTGTGACACTGAATGATCTAATAGTAATATTAACTTCAACAATTCTGGTCAAACTAGTGATCACGTTAGTTCATCATGTCTCTTCAAGACAGAGGACAATTGCTCAATATATGCTTGTTTCGCTGTATATCAGAGCTCATCAGAATGCTCAGGAAACACTGATGAAATTTTTATTTACATCAACGAATCAGTCTTTCTTTTTCTTAACAGATTTATTGGGTTATATGATAATACAAATAATTTATAAACCCTTATTATTAAAACACATATATCCAAGGGGATAGGCATGAATATGACTCAAGGGCTTGTGCCTCCATGAAAATACTGAATATACTAAATATAATTGCAGTTTGTGACATGAATTCAGGTAAGCACCATTCTTCACATAAGAACCTGTTTAGGCTAACTTGGAAAAAATCTAGGTTCTTATTATATGCAGGATTTTACTGTGTTGTTTGATTTCATGTCACAAAACAGGCCATGGGCATGTCAGCTTGTTCTGACAATATATATATGGGATGGTGCCACTCTTTGTAACATGCACAAGATCAGGCAATCATAGTACAATATGAACTGGCTTGTGTTTCAGAATGCTTGTGTAGGAGGCAATCCATCTAGGAGAAAGAAAGCTCTGATTTCAAACCCCCATGCAGATTCCACCTTGGACAATACATGTAGTGACTACATGATCATTAGAGCTTGGAAATTAGGTTAAATTCTTAAAGAAAAGCAACTCATTTTTGGTATGCGAGGTATAATTTACATGTATATACATATATATATAAATTGTGCACAAATTATCTAACTAATAGCTATGTGTAAAGCTCAGTATACTGTAAACCTGCTAACACTTTATTTATCTCAATGTCACAATGACATTTTCAGTGTTCTGGATCATTTTCATTACTTTGTGAAGAGTTTATTTTCTTTGATTTATATACATTTTTAGATTTGATTTGTCTTCATGTGATAAAATAAGAACATGAAATGCTAGCCTAAACAAATTCTTATTTAGGGTGTCTATTTGACTAAATAAAAAATTTAGCCTCACATGTTCTTAAATTGTAGGTTCTTATATGCAAGCTTTTAGTCACAATTAGGGTGAAAAAATATACTAGTAATTATTAATTGAGTTTGTTTACATCATATAAGTTTCTGTGATCAAAATGTTTTATAAACTAAATGTCTTAGGCGGTGTTTATATGGAGGCGAGCCAACCCGGTTACCTGAGCTAATTTAATTTAATTTTTAAACGTCAATTTTTAAACCTTATACACCAAAGTGTGTCTAGTTAATCCAACTACGAATCAAATTTTATAATCGCTGACTTTTTAACAGCTATCAGCACCAAAAAATTCTTACTTTTGCTGAATTAACGTCGGCAAAAATTTGCCGGCCTGGGAGGTTGATATGTCGGCATTTAGGTCGGCATTTAGGTCGGAATTGCCGAATGCGTTTTCGAAGGCGTAAGCTGCTTTGATTAAAATATACTTTGATCAGAGAAACTTTTTATGTGTTTCTATTAAGTGAGCACAAGTTGTCCATGAGAAGACAGTCAAAGACAGTAAAGCACGGTCAAGTAGATTAATTTATATCATTTATCACTCTGACAATAAAACACTATATAAATAGCCATCCAAAACATGTTGACTCCAAATTGCTCATTAACACTTTTTCATTGACAACTCCTACTCACGAGTATCATATCTTTAGGCCTTAATTATATGGGTTTCAGTTTGTAAATAAAAGAGAGAACAGTTCGTATGTAACGATAGTGTATAGTTTAAAGTTAGAATAGTAAATAAAGAAAATTTTATAGTCATTAAAACCTCGATTGATGGGCTTCAACAAGCGATTTCACTGAAGTATCCACATGCAGTGAAGGGAGTGAATAGCAGCTATGTTGGGTGAAATGTCCAATCCTTCTTGGATTCTTTTCTTGAAAACCTTTAGTAGAAGATTGAGGATGTAGGTATATCATGGAGAAACGCAGACAGAAATGGCACGCTCTCCATCGAGGAAAACAATAAAATAGATACACTTTGATACACTTTGGAAGCATCCCTGCTAGCGTGGTATTCTTTCCTACTCGTCATGTTGCCTCAAAAACTCGTTATTTGAAGGATTGTCGCTCAAAAAAGCTCAATATATTTTGGAAACTTCTAGCTTCACTCCTTCGCTTGCGAAAAAAACAACGCGCGTGTTATTGCCAGAAATGAGACTGGACCGAGTATAAACAGAGATGCCCAACTTCCGGTGGAGTCCCCAGGCAAAAACAATCACAGACATGCGCAGAAGGGACTGTAACCTACCTTTAACTTTTTAGTTTGAATTTTTGTTTTGAATAATTTTGCAAAAATTTTCGAAGTCGTGTTCGTTAAAATCAACAATTTTTTACATGAATTATATTTCATTCCATACTTTAAATGCCAGGACGCTTTCAATTAATGTCTAGTCTACCCATTTGCTATATTTTCTCGTTTTTTTTACTAATTTTTGACCAATTAATAAGCATGTTTTTGTTTTAGAAATTGATATTCAAATTTCCCGCCATATTTTCATAATTTGGTGCATGCGCAGACGTTTTTCTGCGGTGTTACTAGAGGCAGTCACCAGCATTGAACTATAAATAAACTGGAAGGCTAACTGCTATGATGAAGGCCTATGATTTGATGAAGCCAAAATAGTTTTTCTGAGTTATGAGCAGAAATACTTGACCCCAAACGTCGGGCTATATATCAATTGAAGCTATTGAAAATTGCTATTTGGTGTGGAAATTTCAAGACTTCAGCGAAAAGAAAAATATTTAAAAAATACAAAAACAACTGCAAAACGGCAAATTATCGGTAATTATGTTTGTAGTTTTTCAATATTCCCCTTTTAGCTAAAGTCTTGATATTTCTACACCAAATAGCATTTTTCAATAGCTTCAATTTGATATATAGCCCAACGTTCAGTGTTGAGTATTTCTGCTCATAACTCAGAAAAACTAAAATGCACTGGCTTCAATTTCCCCCCCTGAGTTAGCCTTCCAGTTTATTTATAGTTCAATGGTCACCAGTGGCAGTCACATAGAGATTATAAATAACACTAGAGGAGGCATCGAGTTTAAAAATTGGGAACGCAGCTAATGGGGGGCAAATTCAAGTCCCGGATATAAAATCGTGCTCTCATTGGCTGATTTGAAACTCGTCACCAATGGGAACACGAATACACATCCGGGACTTGAATTTGCCCCCCAATAGTCGCGTTCCCTTTTTTTTACTGAATTAAGATTACAATGCCTCCTCTAGTGTTATTTATAATCTCTATGGGCAGTCACCCCCCCGACATTAAATTTCAAAATGGCGGCAACAATTTTATTTTGAGACAACAAACATGAAAATAAACTCTTTTTATTTGCCCGAGAGAGGGATTGTGTGGTTAAATTTGTGTTTAAAACTTTCAACGTCAGTACGCGTATTGGAAAAGTGAGTTTATCACACTTAGTTTGCA